CTGATACCCACAAAAAACTCCAAGCAATTGCTTTTATTAATCAGAGTTTTAAAAGACTTCTTGAAAACCCCATCAAACTCAAATTTGAGGGAATGTGAATATAAGATTCCCTATCCACTGGAAAAAAAAAAAAGGGGGGGGGGGGGGGATGATTTTTAAGACTGTGAAGTGGCTACAGCCTAAGTTTTATTTCTACACACTAGAAGAACTGCAGTATCTCCTTGACTGCTCTACTGGGTCACTGGTTCAGTACTGACAAAAAGAAGAATCAGCTTTTTACTACAGTTAGGTGTCCAATAGACTAAAGAGTTTAAGACATTGCCACAGGCTCTTTCTAGCCCGAGAAATATTTTCCTCTCAAAATTCATTGAACACTCTTCTAACCTTGTCTAAGATCATTGGATCATGAGGCTGAGACTAATTGGAAACTCCATTAACACACAGCCAAGCTGTCCTTAATTTCGATAGCATTCCTTTGAGGTGGGCAAGCAAAAGGTAGATAAAGTTTATCCTAAAAGCAAACGAGAACACCAAGAACGTACTTCTATTTCTCGGCACTATGCTGGCAATCAGCAGAGTAGAACATCTTTCCTAAAGCATGCAGAACAACTGGGATGACTGCTCACTGAAATACATGTAACCTGTGATTTCAATAGCAAGTTTGAGCAGCTGTTGTTTGTCAGACATCCCTTGGACTACAAAGAACTCAGGAGCTATCTAGGGTCACCACTAAGATAGGCCTGCTTCCCGGTAACACAAAACAGGACCTGGCTTAAAAATTCACATGGGGAGAAGGTAACTGCAACACTGCACAATATTCTTGTAAGAAGTGCAATGTAACACTTGTTTTTTCCTTGCTTTCAAGAAGTGCTTTTGTCTCTATCACTCTCTCTGCTTTGGAGGTTAATAGGCCAAGGTTCTGGATAAGTCTCCTTTTGCTTAGCATCTAAGGTTGTGTCCTTGGAGGCATCTATGTGGGTGACACAAGACCAGCTCCAATAGTGCTGGACGCTGCCTTACAACAGTCGAGCAAAGAGAATTACCAGTTCTTGGGCCCTACTCAACTCAGAACTGCTTTGTAAGCTTGCAGGGCTCCTAAAACCCCCTCTCTACCCTCCTTTATTTCCCCCCCCCTCTTGCTTTGGACAATGCAGACACCTGACTACACCTGCACTGCCACAAAGGAACAGATTGTTTGGAGAAGATGCTGATACAAATTAGAAAGGCACGTGTGTAAATATGCTGACCAAGGAGACAGCAAAGCACTGTAGGCCAGCAGAAAGACAACAGCCAGAAAAGAAATATAGCTACTTCGAAGGCAAGATGTTTCCATACTGTGTTGTACGAAAACTCTCTTTCTCTATGTACACAACACACACTGAATATCATTCAAAAGAGATTTTAGGAATGCAATATAATTCATTCAAATCCTGTAAATTCCTTCAATAAGTTTTTTTTTAAAAACTAAAGTTGTGACATCACTAAAGAAAATAATTTTAAAGTTTATACATATGTTTAAAGGACTATTGAACTTGTTTCTAGACCTGTCCAATTCTTGTACAGTTTCACAGGATTTAAGTCAAAGATATACATATATCCACTACCAAATACAAAAGCCTTAGCTAAAATTAAGGCATTTCAGTCCTCAGGTAAAATGAATGCATATCCAAGGAAACAAAAAATGGGAAGAAAGGGAAGTCTAAGATGCCATGAATACCTATTATGAGTGCAACTTCAAGGAATCACTTATGAAACACACTTAAATGACCTTAGCAGAAGATTACACTCTAAATTCCAGAGGAAGACAGAATTTGACAGGGAAAATTCCTTCCCTACCCCTTGTTGAGCTCCACATTGCCTTGAGCAAGAGATCAGCCAGGAATCTAGAAATGACACTTTCTGGTATGTCTGAGCACAGGTTCACAAGAACGTGAGTACTAAGTACTTCTGAGAGTAACTGGCTACATCATCTACAGAGAAGTCAGGTTAAATTCTAGGCCTAAGCACTAATTACTATTGGCTTAATGCAGAACTGCACGTATTATGAATACCTCCAGTCATCTTAATTCGATCATCTTCACCCTTCCCCAGCCCAAGAATTTATCAAAGTTAGAAGAAAGCATACCTTAATCATTAAGACTAGATAATGATGTAGCTGCCTGCATAAGCCTTTTTGTTGTTTGAATTCTTAGCAGCAGCCTCAAAACCAACATCTAGCCACTGAGTATTTTCTTTCTTTTGCCAGTAAGTGGAAAAGATCTCAATTTTCTTCCATTATCAGTGTGCAGCTATGCTTAGTGATCAAGTTACTGCTTTGTTTAAGAAGATTTAACTTGGGTCCGTATCATAGAATTACTTGCTAGATTCTTTGTTGCACATCTTCAAGTATGGGCACCAGAAACAGGATTCAAGCAAGATAACCTCCCTGCTTCTATTAATAGTCAAGGATCACATTCACTGCTGACAGCTCTAACAGCAGCTTTCTGTACACTGCTGTAACTGTAACACTCTTCCTCACTTCTCTTTGGGCATTTTGAGTCATTGATTTCTACGAAAACCTTGGTTCTTTTTTGCCGAGTGTATTTCACAGTGTATTAGGAATAAAAATACACAATGTTTGAAAACAAACAAAACAAACACACAAAGAATAACCTCACTACAAACCACATGTAAAGTAAAACACTGTGCTTATGTAAAAGGACCATTTAGTAACAGGTCCAGAGTCTTTCCTGATCAGCACGCACATGTAACTAACCTGCAAATGAACCAGCATGAGAAATCCTTCAGAATTTGTTAGAAATTCAGATACTTGCACAGGAAGCCACCTTCCTATACAAGCTAATTTCCAATAAATACTACTTGCCATTTTCCAGAAGACATTTACTCTCACCCCACAATCTCCTATACCTAGCATCCAAATTTTCAGACTTGAGTTATTATTTGCCTGCCTCCAAAATTGATACAAGTTCCTGGAGTTCTAGAGGCCTCTCAGATCAGGTGAACAAACATATTTGGAGAAGGAACAATTTTTTCAACTGCAGCAGGGTTAATCTTACTGGCTCGCAGACAATTAAGCCTCGGGCCACGCCAGGGCTTTCCCTAGATAATTTTTTTTTTTCTACTAGGCTTCTCATAAGTTTAGCTATGTACCGTGAACATTGCTTGACTTATGAGAAAAGTCTGCTCCCCAGTGTAGAAATTTTGTTTCATTTCTGAGTTGTTTTGGAATGCTGCCATCACAGGTTTCCAGCAACATACTGGTCAATGACAGAGCAAGAAACACATTCATTATGCAAGATAAAAAAAAAAAAAAAAAAAAAAAAAAAATTGTTTGACCTCTTAGTCTTTTTTTTTTTTTTTTTTTTTTTTAATTACAATAAGGAGGGTTTTGTGGTTAAGACACTGATCTACGACTTTAATGAGAAAACCCACCCAACCACAAACAGTTCAGATCGTCAATCTGACAGACTGCATGCACAACACTAGATGAATCATCTCTTTCTGGACCATGTAACTATAGGTAGCTATAGGTACATGTATGCATGCGTGCATACATAGCTGTATGTATACACACACACACAAAACTGTATGTATATAACTATAAAAGTGGGGACAGAAACCACTACTTTCCTCAGCCAGCTTGAAGGGCAGTGGTAGTTTCTGTCTCCTGCACAAAATAAAAAAATCAGATTTAAGAAGGATGTTGGTGAATTCTTCCTCAATTTTGTGAGTCTTCTATTTCCAGCTTGCATCCCAATTATCTTTTCTGCTGAGGATTATAGCCTGACGAAGATATTATGAAATCTACCATGACCGCTTACTTTGGTTTTTTTGGGTTGGTCTCAAGCCAAGAGGAAGAAAGTTGATTTCTTAAGCAACTCTTACAGGAAAACACAGCGAAAACAATTCTTCATCCAGCTATGCCAACAAAACCTAGGCTTATAACAATTCATTATCTTATTCTCTGCATAAAAAGCAAGCAGAATCTGCAAGCTCTAGTCAGCTTCTACAGTGAAATCGACTTGAAGAAAAAACAGTATCTTAGGAATTTAGTGAGAAAATAACAACGAAAATTTCTGCTCCAATGAGAGGGATGAAACCATTTACAAACTGAAGTCTGTAAGAAGTGCCATCCTTCCTCCTCTGCATTCAAATGGGTCCTACTTTCCTGCAGAGTGATAAGCAGAGATTATTTAGGAGGACCAGGTGAAGGACATGTTATGTGATCTATTGGCTGAGAGTCCAGACACAGGCAGAGTTCAGCCTCAAAGGAAGCATGAAAACTATGTATGAAGCAGCATATTTCCAAAATTATTCTGAATCAATTTCTAGTATTGGCAAAATCCTCCCTCAAGTTATCCTGTAAAAGTAACAATTAAGATTACTAAATTGGTCAAAGAGTACACAAGATTACAAAGCTTTGGTATATAAAATTCCTTTTTAAAAAACAAAGCAGTTAAATGACAATTTGCAAGTTAACTTCCCTCTTAAAAGGGCAAACAAAAAAAACCCAACAAACCAAGGCCTTTCAAAATACAGATACATGAAGATTTAAAAACAAGACAGTAATCTTTTCCATATCATCTGAGAAACAGTTATTGTTCCCACCTGTAAAATTCTGCCTCTTGTAAGACTCCCCAAACAGCAACCCCTCAAGCAGCCTCCTCCTTCTACAATGACTGGGTATGAGAAGCGAGCCACAACTTGTTTTTCTTTCAGATGCATGCATTAAGTAGCACTGACGAATTGCAATAATACACATACATCAGCCAAATATTTGAAGTTGCTATTAAAATGTCAGAAAAAAACCCCTCTGGATATTCCTGCCAATTCCTTCACATTAAAAGATACAGACTTGGTATTACGCTCAGTTCTGTATCACTAGCCAAAGTGTTTACTGATGTCCTGTAAGCCTAACATTAGAACCTATGTGCTTCAAAAAAATAAAGTACAGAAAGTACTAGTCAAAGAGCTCTTAGTGTCCCTTGCTATCAAAGTCTGTGGAGCCTGCTGCAACAGGTTTGTAAACAGAAGTGAAGAGATCATGGTGAAGTTCTTAGACTAAAAGCACAACTCCAAATTTGAACAGAGTTGCCTCTGCTGAATCAAGTTCAAATTTACCCCAGATAATTTAAAAAGCAAAATTGGCATCTGAGGCTTTCTAGGAGAAGGTTAAAATTGTAGGTCTTTCAAAAAAAGCATCCAAGAAAAACTGTAATATCATTGACCAGGATAGAGTCACTTCTGGGAATTAAAACCGTGAGTATGCTGTTCTTTGCTGTTGCTGCTGTGATGGTGGCTGTCCTTGCTGTTGCTGAAGACGAACCTGCTGGGAGTATGGATCCTCAAGAGATTTAACAAAGATAGTTGTTTTAGGCCCAGTTTTCCAGACAATACCATTTGAATCTATTACAGAGGACTCTACTGTGATGTTGTGGGTACCAAGTATCACAAAGTTTAACAGAAACTGAGTGCTGAAGTAGTCGTTGTGTGGTTCCACCCTCTGCTCCATTTCATTGGTCATGTTGTCAATAGGAATCTGAGAACACATGGAAGGTTAAAATGCCATTTTTTATAAACCTGTTAAAATAAGTTTTCTGCTCTCCGTTTGAAGGAGAGAAAAAAGAGAAAAATCTTTGTCCTCCATTTTCTTAAACCAATGCACGTGCATGTTTGAGACTGCTTGATGTGCTTTTTCATTGATGAATGAGTTTTTGTATCGATTCACAGAAGCAAGGTAGCTAACAAGGCTTTTTCTCCCTGAGGTTCTAGTTTTCCACAGAGTAATACGAGTCAGACAAACATTACACACCTCCTAGTCCTGTTCTTTTAGAAGCAACTGACTCTCTTTCCTTTTCCTCCTCAGAAAAAAACCCAAACAACAATACAAACAAAAAAACCAACCCCAAAAACCACCAAAACAGGCCTTTCACTAAATGTTACACATTAGCAGAACCTGAACTTCAGACACACAATCTTTGATAAAACTGTTGACTTGAATTTAATACATATCTCCTTAAGTGCTATTTAATTTGGACAGCCTGTCCTCCCTATTTCCATAAACAAACAAAAAAACCCCAACCTTAAAATGCGGATAAAGAAGTTCTAGAGACTATGCAGTAGAGAATAATCTACTCCTGCCTTTTTTTCCCTGTGGAGTTTCATATGATATACACCTAGGTAGAATTTTGCTGATCTCAAGCAGATTCCTAATGACTTGTTCTGAACATCACAAAGCTCCTTTTGTTTGGAAGAAAAGCTGTTACTAAAAAGGTATCAGGATACAGCAGACTTAAAAACCCCATATCCCTTCCATGCACTATGCCTGGCTCTGGCCAGTGCCTGAATGTCAGCTGTTAAGAGTGAGAGAGGATTACAGAAAAACCCATTCATCATTTCAACCTGAAAATTCTGCTAACCAGAGCCAAACAAAAGAGCACAAAAATACAGCAATAAAGCTTAAGGCTCTTCCTGGCTCTATTCTATCCATACCTTATAATCTTGTCCAGATTTGCTCTGCAGCACTGAAGAGACGTTTAGACAGACGGATTGGATTTTACGGAAAAGGCCTGGTTTAGATCCATGCTGAACCACTCCTTCCACCTTTAGGGCCAATTGCTGATTGTTCTGTACTGCAATAGGTTCTGCTGGGTTCCTCGGAGATGGGGATAGAGCAAGCTGAAACACAAGAAAACAGACCAAAATGTAGTATTATGCCTCCAGAAAAGCAAACACAATTCAAGGATGAAACCAGAACACCTTCTTATAGAAAAATTTCCAAGGAGGGGTTTGGTAGGGAAACCAGCAAATAGAAACACAGAACTTATATCTGAGACTCATTACTATAATAATTAATAAGCATCATCAGCAATACCAGATGTGGTCTTTCTATCAGTTTCATTAATTGTGCTTCCTCAAAAGAACAGAAAAAAGTCTTCTACAAAATATCCACAGGTAAGTATATTAAGCTGAACAAAGTAGTAAAATGCAGTAAGAGTAAATATTAAAAATCTGAAGGCTTTCACTTTTCCCAGAAAAAAGGAGCCCTTGAGTTAAAAAAAAAAAAAAGGACCACTGAAGGTCATATACAGCCATTCTTCCTCAGTCAGCTGATAAATATTACAATTTTCTTCCAAGATAGTAAACATTGCTTATTAAAGGAAAAAGGAAAACAATACAAGTTTATAAAAGTTGCCTTCCCAGGACTAGAACATTATTTAGCTTTGCAGAATCAACAAAAATTCCAGTTAGATTTTATCTTTAAGGCTTTGCAATCAAAGAACTGAATCCTACTTGCATAAGTCACAGCCTGGTGATTCTTAATGATCATATGTACATATTATTCAGGTTATTCCTAACAGATAAACCCAGATGCTATTTGCAGTTAAGTATCATCACTAAAAATGCTGAAGCTTTGTGCCTTCAGTAAGGCTTTTCTCATGACATAAAGATGCTATAAAGAGAAATTTTAGGCCACATTTGAGCAGTACTTACCTTAATACTTGTAGACTGCAGCTTTTGAAAAAAGTACCTTTGAAATGAAAGGGGTACCTTCAACAATGCAATGACAGCATTACACAGACAAGCTGTATGCTGTAAGAAACAGAGCCAAACTATTGAGAAAAAAATGTCATTCATAGCACAGGAAAAAGACATGTACTTGAGATACTGAAACTGCAGTAATTTGCACTAGAAGTCCAGAAATATATTTATACAGTCATAGGATAACAGCCACTATGATGACAGTGACTACATTCAGCCTCTCTGTTTATGTTCTGCCCTTTATGAAGAAGGTATTCTGCTCTGAAAAGAACAAGGAGGCCAAGAAAAAGAAAAATCCAAATCATTTCAGTCCTAGTACTGGAGTCAGCAGAGCAGGATCTGCTTGAAACACTCATACACAAAACCCTCACAAACTCAAATAAACAACAATTCCCCTTCAAGCAAACAAGGCTGACATCTACCACAACTTAATGCACTGCAGTAATTAATTTTAAGGCTCCTGTCTACTCTTCCTTTCCCCACGGCACTATACCATCCTTCTGGCTCAGATGAGCAAAGGCAGTGCTACTGAAGTCATTGAGCTGCATTGGTACAGAGCCAGTGACAACTAAGTTTACAGGGTCTACCTTTGCTACATTTTACACAACTCATTCTTCTATTCTATTTGGAATCGGTAAGGACTGTTGAATTTAGAAACAAGGCAAATAGATGCCAGCCATGACAAATGAACTACCTTATTCCCATCAACACACACTTCAGCTTTATGATGTTCACTAACAGTAAAAAACTAAACCATACTAGCCCTGTAAAGGAGTTTGTTATCAGCTCACGGTCTGCATTCAGCACACTTTACATTGTGTTCTCTGATGACCTGCACTGATAAGAGAAACACTATACTCGCAAAACACAATATTAACTGCCAACGGCTCAGTGACCAAAGCTAGGCTAGTCCTGGACCCTCCAGCATTGTGTGAAGTCAGGGAAGAATTCTTTCATGGCAACAGCATGAACAAAGAGAATGTGCTTCAGTATTTGCATGTGGTGAAAGATGTGACAGAGACTTGACACTGCTTTTAGGTATCTTATCAGCATCTGCTATATTCTTAGTATCAGAATTTTTAAAACATTAATCAGACCAGTAAGGTTACAGATGTCTTTGCAAACCTTTTTTGAAGTAGTTAGTCTCCATAGAGACCATTTGTGCCAGTAAGAGGTTATGTTAATTAACAGTGTGCTCTTCAATTTCTTGACTGCCATAGATATATGGAGTTGCCGAGTTTTTGGAACCTTTGTCTACAGAACATACATTTAAAACTGTTACTTGCCAAGTAAGACACAGGAGCATACTTCCTGTTGAGGGATTCCACTTCTTCCAGTACACGATTAAATACAGACATCATTCTTCTTTCATATTCACTCTCAACATGTGCTGTTCCATTTGAGCTATATTCCTGGAAACTAAATAATAAAGCTTTTCATTGTGTCTAACATACTTTCCTCATTGTAATGTGGGAGGCTTACTCCCAAACAAGTCCAAGACCATCCTCTGTAACAACTTGAAATCCATTAAGAAATAACTATGTCTTTCAAACTGTTTACTCTGTTTCATTATTATTTTTCCACTATAAGACTTGTCCTTTATATTTAAACCCTTTCTTAACTACAGCTTATACACCACTTTCTGTCCCCACCCTCTCTTACTTGAAGCACTTACAGGTCTAACAGACTCAGCATGCTTAATTGCCCTAGCTTTTATTTAAACCTGCAGTGTTTACAATGTTTTTAAAAGTCTCACAACTCAAGGAAGAGCAAGAACACCAGTCAGAGTTAAGACTAAATCTGGAGGTTTATAATCTCATGCTTCAAATACAATTCCATCTCCTAGATACCTAATGTTTTGAAATGAACAGCTCCATACTTTTTACAAGTATGATGAATACATCTTCTAAGCAATGCTTAATTTATAATGAGTAGGACAGTCACTCAGAATGTTCACTTCTATTTCCAGTTATAAAATCACACATTTAAGAAGATGTTTATCCACATTATCTTCCATTTAATCTCAGCCTGGGAGTTTTAAAGTGTGATTCAATTCATAGGTACTTCAATGTGATTTTCTAGTGGGTATAAGTTCACTGTTAAAGAAGAGCCAGAGGTGATAGATTTACATTAGAAGTTTAAACTAATTTAATGCATATATTTTCAGGACTCTGAAGGAAACTAATGTGCGCTTACAAGTGCAAACAGTAGGTATGGGAGCTAGTGCAGAATGACACAAGTTAAAATAGGTGGCTAAAGAAGAGATTAAAAGTTGTCTTAAATATAGACTTGCATTACAATAAAAAACAAGTCCAGTATAGTGTTCTCAAAACCAACATCAGTGTAGGATGCAGAACCCAAAACACAGTCCCTAGCCTGCCAAGTATAGCACAGCAGCAACAGGTCCTCAGGCCTGCCCAGAGTAGAACTAGAAGGGTCTACTGAGAAATTTCTGAACATTCTTTGAATTCCCTAGGCTTAAAGCCCCAAGGATTTAGAAATAAATAGCAAAGGAGTAGAAAGTTAACTATCAAACCTACCTCGTAGATTCTGGATCCAAAATCAGAGCTTCTATTGCATGTGAAATCAACAGGCAGCTCTGCTGTTGTCTGATATTAATACTAAGGAGTTAAAAGTCTTAAAGGTGGCACCTAAATCAAGAAACGCAGTATATTTGCTGGCACTTTTCCTTATTTCTCTAGCTTTTGTGAAGTAATCCTACAGTCATTACTCCTTTAGTAAACACAGAGCAAGAAGTATGAAAATCCCAAGTTTTATGCTGTTGCAATTTTTGTGTCATAATTTGTTCATAAAGTAATTCCAAACAATAGCATGGCAATGTTTATTGCCAAATAGGTTTTAAGCAATTGGCACCTAATTTTTATATTACTAACTGCTTCAAAATGACTTTGCCAGTCTTCATAGAAAAGAGGATTGTTAAGCTTCGTGCTGTCCACATGAGAAGGAAAGTGGACAAATTCTAAGATTTTAAAAGGATACAGTTCTACATTCCTTAGAGTTGCCGAGTCTGCATCAAAAGATGACTGATACAGATCTCCATACCGTGTAGCCAGGTTTCGGAATTCCTCCATTGAGTGTTTCATCTATAGAGACAATGTTACTAGTCAAAAAAACAAATCAAAGCAAAACAAACAAAATCCCACACATCTGGAAAACCACTACACCGTAACATACAACTGAAGGAATAAGACAACATATTCTGACAAAATACATAAAGTTCTTGCTTCTTCACACAGATAAAAATCACCAAAGTGACAGACTATTAACCACACGTTAAACAGATATTTGTCCTGTAACACAGCACTAACATACCCTCCTTGGGTTAAAAATAAAGCAAACAAAAGAGAAGTGGTAAATCAAACTGCTCTGTCTTTCAAAGACTACCCACTGATTCCTTCTTGCAGACTATGTGCACTTTAGAAGCAGACTGTGTTGGCATTCTGTACTGTGTCAAGTCAGTTGCCACCACTCAAAAGGAGCTGCAGTATGATCCTAAAGTATATATTCTTCCTTAGTGTAATCACAGTATCTGCGGTATTTCAAAACAAGGTGTGAAAGGTCTTGCTGCAAGTTTAAGCATACTGAGTGGCTTACTACACACATATTGTTGAAAGCTGTGCACGTGAATGTCTGATAAAACATACGTCCATGCTCAGCTTCAAAATATGGCCTGCTACAGGCAGACATTTTTATAGCTAAAGCAAAACCAAGGCCCACTATTTAGCAAAACTCTTCACTACCACTTTTCATTTCTTTCATCAGATATGTTTACTGAGAAGCAAAATGAGTGCCAGAGTCATAAACATAACTGCACAAGAGTGGAACAAGAACACATGCCTGGTTAGAGATGCGTCCACACCTTTGGAGATCATTTCCTGATGTCATAGCAATCGTTGTGGCAATAGCTGGTGGTGGACTTGTTTTTAGGCTGTTGCAGGTACAAATAAGTTGAGAAAAAGCTTGCAGAAGGTCAATCCTGAGTTTCACAAATCCACACTGAAAGCTCAGAGGATTAAGTGGCGTACTAGCAGCCTGAAACACAGCAATAGGAATGTTGGCAATCTAGGTCAAAAGCAAACATGATAAAAAAAACCACAAAACTTTGCAATGTCACTGAATGGTCTCATCAGACAAGTGAACCCTTCAGTTCAATTCTAAAAGCTGTTTTTTTAAAACTACGTTTAACAGATTTGCTCAATTTAAATCATACTGAATATAAACAACACAGAAGTTAGGTAATTACTAATCCATATTTCAAGCATATCACCCTTCCAACAAATGTGACTTAAGCTGTTACAATGCTACTAGGGCACCTATCTCCTCTTTTTCCAAGGCCAAGCCATTAGGTTTCAAGTGACATTAGTCCAGACAGTCCTTACCATAAGAGAGCGCACACTGAATTGGAAGGCAAACAGAAACACAAAGAACTGAAAAAGTGATTCTCTGTATCAGCCAGATGAGAAAGAATTGGCTAAAGTTACCTGCAGCAAGAGGAAGGGGTGATAACCTTTGATTTTTTTGGAGCTGTGAAATGGACAGGAACATGACAAAGGCGCTGAACCTTGCATTTGATGAAGGCAGAGACAAAGTTCAGTGACAACTAAGATCAGTTAATAAGAGAACTCCAGGTGGGTAGACATGCTGCTAGTGTTCAGAAACTATGGTTCTGTGAAACTTTGCTTCCTAAGAGCTTATCTGACTTGTAGAAGCATCTGTGACAGCTTAGGATATCCAGGAGGGGGTGAACTGCAGCATTCAAGATTTTATACTAATTAAGCCAAAAATCCACTACTTATTTTTCTTACACTGTTGGCTTTTGAGAACAGTACACTTTTTTCTTTAAGGGGGAAAAAAGGCATCAGCAAAACAAAGCACTGGGACCTTCTCTTACTCAGAGAATAGAAGTATGTTAAACTCATGCACGTCTTCTCCAGTGCTTCTTATTCTTCAACAGAAAAGGTCACTTCCGGAAGCAAGAAGTTACAACCCCTCCCAAAACCTTACTAAGAACCATTACTTTGCCGGCAGGAAAGCAACAAACTAGTTTCTCACAAAACATCACATCATCTGAGAACTGGCCCACTATTGACTAAAGTGAGGAAACATCAGCCAACTGCAACCACTTTAAACATATTGAGCTAGATTTCAACCAAAGAAATAAGGCTATTTCATCACTTGAGCCATTCAGCCCCTCTTATCTACCACTTTGGTTTCCCTTCTCCAAGGGCATAAAAAAATCCTTTTTGAATGGAAATTGTTCAGTTTATTCTGCAAGGGTGGTTTCAGAAAACCCTCTATGGAAGAGATCTTGCTGCACTGTAATTGCTCGACAGAGACTACATGCTTTTATAAAGTTCCAGTACTTATATCAGAAAATCCAGACATTTTTAGTAGCACAAATTGGACTTGATTCTTGTAAATGGAAGTACAATCTTGTCTCATTAATACTGCAATTTACCTTATCTGCTACCCATATAGCTGTGGGCAATAAATGAGTTACAATTCTTCTTTGAAAATGACAGAAAGAGTTCTTTGGCTCAGCCAAGTTCTTCAAACACCACCACTGGTTATCCACGTATTTGGAGTTAGTGCTACTTAATCAATGTTATTTTAGTGCATTTTTCAAGTTCTGTATCGTCTCTAGATTACCAGCAGTGAAAAAATAAGCACAATGCTTCCAATGAGATGCATGTTCTGTGCCAGAAAGAGCAGGTCCTATTCAAAACCTCTGCTTATACAAGCAAGTACACCGTGAGACAGATGGGGAGTGTGGCCAATACGCTCTATGACAAGTCCCTGCCCTCCCTCTCCCACCTCTCATCCATAAAGTAATGGGACTTTTTTCCTCAAGTGGACTAACTCACACGAAAGAACATTTTGCATACAGCAATGCAAGACAGACAGTTGCATGTATACCAAGAAGGAACTGAGATATCTTCTGACAAAATCAGAAACGGTCTGAATATTTCATCATTCCTAAAAACTGGGCCGACTGAACACGTGCAACAGATTTACCAGCACAGTGTCTTCCAGCTACAAAGCTGACAGCTACACAGGGTTCATCATATGTACTAATACTCTGTGGTACCAACAGTGCTGAGTCATGCTGTACACTGACACAGCAGCAACAGTAAAGCTGAAGTCAGAGGAAAGAGACAGCAAAAGTCTTCAGCAGTAAGACTATCATGTGCGCTTTATGGCACTTTGCTCCCCTTTGAGGTGCCGAGTTCTGTAGATGCAAGCCGTGAGTGGCTCCTTTTACAGCTGATACACTCAAGCATGATTAGGAATTTGTCCAGAGCAATGCAAAAAGTCAGCAACAGCCAGCAATAAAACCCAGTAGCTAGCCCTCCAAAACCTGTACTCACTCTTCTGGACCAAAACAAACCACAAGGAAGGTATTGCACCCAGAAAAGCACTATGTGCAACATGCAGGAAGTGAAGTCAGCAGAGGACATGAGGACAGGAATCCTTCAATAGAAGAAAAAAAGAAAAAAAAAAAAAACACAAAACAAAAAACTCAAGGGAAAGGCTAATTAAATTACTGAATCACAGAATGACCTATTTAAGCAATTTATTCTCCTGCCTGTATTAAATTTTCACATCTAATTAGATGAGCCCCCCCCCCCCCCCACGTCTTCTAGATGTTAAGAGAAATCTTGAAACATTGAATTAAAAGCCTCATTCACTCAGCTAGCAAGTTAAAGACAAATCCTTCAGGAACAATGGAGCTTTCTCTCAGAGGACAAGGGTGTAAAATTTATGTCCTTCCTGCTTATTCAGGGACAGTTTATTAATAAACAGTAATATCTGAACTTTATTAAACACTAACATCTGAATTGTCATGCCACTAACAGTTCCAGTAACTGGGGGCGGGGGTGAAGGAAAAAAAAAAAAGCAGCTTCATTCAAAAGACATGCAGAAAACTGTATGTAAAGATTTCTTCACGGAAACTAAAATATAGAAGAAAGTATTGTGTGAAGCTGGATCATCTTTTGTTAAAAAGGAGATTCACAGTAAGAACCAAAGGTCCATGTTCATTAATGCTTTTTTTGTTTACATTCACAGACATCATGCACACAGCTTCTTGCTATTTTTACCACTTCAGAGAAGCAGAAAGTATTTACATAAAAGCAGGTACTATCTGAATTCTGCTGATTTGATGAGATTGGATTGTCCTCCCTCCTCTTACTAAATTGGTGTTGCCTTGTTGTTCGGATTCCATAGGATCACACTGTCAAATACAAGGAAACATGAACTCAGCAGGAGAGAGGAAGACAATTAAATCCTTCTCCATAGCTGGAAAAGATAGCAGCCAATTTAGACAAATTCCCAGGCTTGACTATTACAGTAGCATTTATTCAGCCAAGACAAGGAGTGGAAAAATTTTTAAGTACTGTAACTTTAAAAAAGATCTGTCGTGTATCATATGATTTGACCAAGGCAGGAAGTCCGGGGAGGGAAGAAAAGAAAAAAGAGAAGTTTAGCTAATCACACTTAACTGAGCTACAGGATCTTCTCTCTAAAGATGCAGTGTTACAACTGGCTCTTCCCTGCAGTCCTCTCACAAAAAGAGTCTGGCAGATGTCAGACATCTTTTAAAACTCTTCGGAGGTTTAAAGAACAGAAACCAAACAGACCTGCTGCAGTATACAGAAACATCATCACTAAATTAGAAGATTATGTGCTAACCGTCAGTGACGCTATTCCTTTGTGATAGGATTTTAGAGCTTCAGCAATACAAGAAAGCGCTGAGCTGTAGTTGTCCTCCTGCAAACCTGTCAGACACTGTTCTGCATGGGAGAACTCCTTCAAGCTGTTCAGCCAGAAGTAGAAGTGTTCTGAAGCCACTTGAGTCAGCAGGCTTTGATACAGTTCTCTGGCCATGTCATGGTTGCCCTGTAATGAGAAGAATGTTTCTAAGAGGGAACATGAAAGAAGGCTGTGGGTTTCTACAAAACAAATACAAATAAGAGAACAGTAACATCTCCAGAACTAATCTTACTTTAAAAATACAAATCATAGAACTTCTTCCAATCATTTGATTATGACAATCCCAACAATAAAGAAAAGCACAAATGCTTATTTTATTGAAATATCAGCTTGTATAAAGTATAGTACTTATTTACACAAGATAATTCAACAAGATGAGAAACAAATACCAAAACTTACCTTTACCCCAGCATCTCATACAAGGGTTTCTATGTAATTCTAACCCCAGCTGTGACTTTACTGAGGGAAAAAGGGAAAAAAAAGGATCTTTTTCTTCCTTTCTCCACATTGAAGAAAGAGCAGCACACATCAGGAGGGCCTATATCACCTTCTAAAGAACAGCTAGACAATGCAGATTAGGCATGTGCTTAAGAAAGTATCACGTCATTACTTCCTTCTCAAATACTTCAAAAAGACAAGTGAAAAACCATCCTGATGGGATGACTGCCCTAAACAGCACATATCTGAATCAGCATTCCAGGGAATTAAGAGGGAAATTTTTTTTTTCCCCCCCCCCCCCCGATTTCCTCCTCCCAAGTCCTACCATTTTCCTTACTTTCTTTTTCCAGTTCAAAGAAATCACCAGCATCCTTCCAACCACATAAACCAATTCTCCTCCAGGTATTTTCACTTACCATTCTGGAAGCCTGCCTTGCTATCCTGTAGGCTGTCCATCCATTGGAGGCATTCTCAAGCTGCTGTTTGATAACAGTTTTGACTTCTGAAGACAAAGCTTTCTGACTGGAAACAAATATCACTGTGGCAAGAGAAACCTGATGAAGAGCGGAGGGGTGAGGAAGAAGGCTATATTTCAGGAACTAAACAAAACAAGAAAAAGCCAGTTCTGTTTCCTAAACTACCAGAAATGATGTGCTTGCTTTTGGACTCAAAGCTATGTAGAAGATTATATATACATTTTAACTAAGGAACTTTTCTCAGCCATATATCTTTAAGTAGTTATGGCAATCCAAGTATTTCTTGTAGATGAAAGTCACTTTTACTTAAGAATCTTTACTGTGGCTTTTAACTGAGATATTTTGAATGCTCCAAATGAATTAACAGGAAGCTTGTAATTTCTTTCTTAAAATTCAAATTCATTTCCAAATAGATGTGATAAAAGTATTTTTCATCTCTCATAGTATATTAAAAGTCATGGCCATCAGAGTACCATACATAAGTTGAGCTAACTGCCATTTTGTTTTTCTATAACCATTATTTTACAGCTATCCCAGTAATTTCAATAGCTATATTTGTCTAAACAGTGCCATCTACTGGAAAATCTAATGGAATGCACTGCATAGTTCAGCTCCATCTATGAGATATTTCAACACTGAATACTGACATATGTAGTCAAAAGTTAAAGCAAAACTGAAAATAGTGGCTCTAGACTGGCACATCAACTTGGACATAACAAACAGCTTAGCTGCCTTTTAAAATAAAATCCATCCACAGTAGTTTATACAGACTTTATCCATCAAGGGCTATTCACCAGAAGGAGGTCTTACCAAGAGTTCCTGTTTTTTATCTGTGGCAGATCGTCCAATTAATTTATAGAGGTCCATTAGGTCTCCTAGCATCCCATCTGCTAAGACAGGCAGCTGCATGGCAATAGCTGCTAAACAGTGGCACATGAGAATCCTAGCAGCATCCTGGGCACTGTGCAACTGGGTCAGCAGGGATTCAACTACTGACTGGCTCAGGTGAGGACGGCACTTGACCAGCTTCACCATACAAGTTAATGTGATCTGCAATTCACACAATCAACAGGTACAATAAACACAATGTCTACTTAAAAATAAAAAAAGCCAGACACACTTATCTGCAAGTATCATTACAGAAATATAGATCTGGTATTTTCACAACCATGTACTCTACAAAAGATGAGATTTTTCTACGAGCCCAAGGCTCTGTCCCTGAGCTCACAGCACAAAAACATCACAAATTCAAGAAATTATAATCTTCTTTCTCATACCACCAGCCTTTACAGGTAAATAACTAGATAAAATTACTGGTAGCAGCTTATGAAGTGGGGAAATAGAAATAATAGTTTATAGAATTGTTGTAATCATGTACATTGCATCCCCATCTCCAAAAAGCAGGTTCTCGCCAAGATTCTCTTTGTCCTCCAGAGACATCTCCATCCCATGTTCAAGTTCATGTTTTATTACAGCTGTTCCTCTGAGGAATGCATTTTTTCTTCCACTTATTCTGGAGCTGAGGAGTTGCACTATAGTTGTGCTCAACTTCTCTACCGCTCTGAACTCCAATTATAGGCAAAACATAGAAAAAAAAAAAATCTTCATTTTTTTCCAGTACATTACACTTGCACCAGAAAGGATGTGGTGCACACTAGCCTTTCTGTTATAGAAGCTATTACTATAACTTATAGCTGTGCTAGGGGAAGACAACAGTAACATCACCTTTAAGGTTGCCTGAGCTCCTGGACTGTCATCTTGACTACAAAGAACAAGAAGAGCTTCTAAGCCAAAAACTGCATCTTGCTCCAAAGGCAGAAGATCTAAGAAAAGAAAAACAGAGTAAATTAGTTCCCTGTCAAGTTTTCTGACCATAATTGGTGTAATGCTTGCACTGGTGTTGCAGTCATGACAGATAAGTATCTTCCTAATACTTCTGCCTCACCTTATTTTGATTAGAAACAATTCTGCCACTCCAAGTCTCAGGTAACTATTCAGCAGTCACACCAACTGTGACAGTTGTAGAGCGTGCATACATCTCTGGACTAAGACTTCTAAATGCCCTGTTATTCTTTTGCAACAGGCTTTGTGCAAAGAGTTTTCAAAGGTTGACAAACAATTCACTAATCTTACAGCAAAGCTAAGACAAGCATTTATTTAGCACGAGTTCTACTGTGCCCAGTAATTTTCTCTAAATTAGACGAATACGGAATCTTCCCAATCATTCATAAAATCATACAGAATATTGTCTACTAGCTTATAGTCCCCATTCTCCCTAACCAGCATGCAGGATCAGACAGATTTACAGACAGGGTCACAGACAATACATGTTAATACAGTTAATACATGTTGTGCATAAGCCTGACTGTAAACAGACACATTTCATTGTCCTTGCTTTCATTTACCTTTTTCCTGACAAGAGGCTGATATATTAGTCAGAATTCTCACACCATGAGCTGCAATGCCACGGTTATTGTGGTAACAGCACTCCTGTGCCAGTTTTACTAAATCAAATGATCTTGCAGTTGTAGCTGCTGTTCCTAAATAAAGACAAGGCAAACATGACATAAAACAGCACAGTCCATAATTACGCCACAGATCTTTCCATGTACATTTCTGCAAAAAACCTACATTGACTTAGGATTAACTTTTTTTTTCCATATATTTAAAGGATAGGATGGAAACATATCTTTCTCTCTCCACACGCAAACAGAGATTCTCTCCTCCATTCCTAAACATCATAAAGTTAGACATACATGAGAAAGAATATTTGGGTCTAAAGGCTGATGTTTCAGGGTCTCAGAGAAATATTGCCTTAATATCTGATTAAAAAAAAGCTGGTGAGCATATTAAGACGTGCCAGAATGACTGAAGAGGATGTACTCCACTTCCACAGCCCATGTAGTTGGGCTCATAATACTCATTAGGGCTGTGTGGCTTTCAAGAAGAAAAAAGAAAACAGTATAATCACCATTTTAAGAACAAGACACCTTGAATCACTTTAAAATGTCTACTTTTTCTCCAAAATATAGTCACAAGGCAGAAGGTTCATCTGGTACTGAAGCAGGTCATTCCCACAAACGCGGCATAGCTTCACTGTGCCACGGTAATATGCCAGCCCATTAACTCTCCATGCTACTCAAAAACCATGCAAATCCATGGTTTCAAAGCACCTTAAGCAGAATGCAGGTCAGCCATTTGAGAGGCATCACATTTCTTTGTTTTATGAAGAGAAGTTGAAGACCCAAAGGTAAAAAACCCTTTCATATAGTATATTACCCCAAAAATCCAGAACAAAATCTTAGGCCATAACTATTCATGGGTATACAGCATTCTATTTTAAGTTTACATACGATGAACACAGTCTCTCAGCTGTGTTTTGAACTTCAAAAATAGTTTAAGAATATGCTACAAAGTGTTTAGATGAAACTGATTAGCAGTAGGTAGCCAACCCATTATAAATGTCAAAGATAATCATCTAATCTAGTTTTCTTACCTGGAGCACTGCTGAAGTACTGTTTAATGGCAATGGTCCCTGATAACGTGGAAAGAACAGATAGCATGCCCAGTTTCAAGCTGTCATAAGGAGTGTGAAGAGCAGATTCACAGAGTGCCTAAAGATTAGCAGGAGAAAAGATAGAGGGAAGGATGTCCCATCAGCTATCTGTATTAAATGTTTAGTTGCCCTTGTCTGTGAAAAGTTTTGGGAGTCAAGATTTTTCCACAGAAAATACTATACTGAAATCAAAAGTTAGTAGTCATGTCCTGAAGCATCTATTTTAGTAGACTTGAGTACATGGCTTGCAAAAAAAGGGACAGCGGGTCTCATACACTAGGAAAAGCCAATTATAAGTCATTTACTAATTAAAACAAAATCAGTGGCAAAAATATTACCAGGTGTCATTGATCAAATATTGCAAAAGATTTTAAGACAGTTCTCCAGTCTTAGAGGTATACTGATTAGTTTGCCTTATAACAATATGCAGGGTTTTATGTAAGTATACATCTCTGTAGAGCAAAGTTTCAAGTGTCATTTCCTTTAACAGTCCTGGTGTCCAACAGAATACAGTTTAAGTTTCTTGATAAATATCTTAAAGCATATTTTATTTTTTAACTCATGTATAGTAGAGCTCCTGTCAAACTTTTGTCCCTTTTGCCAGATCTTCTCAGGCCTTATCACATCTAGACTGGAATAATGCACACTGTTTTCAGATTCGCTATGCCAACACTGTCCACAATTTAGTCATTCGCTGGTTTTGGAGGCTTTTTTAGTCAACAAGAGAAAGCAATACAAGACACAAATGGAAAATGTAAGTAAATTCTGCCTCAGAGAGTGCCAAAGCTGAACAATAACATCCAGTAACTGAATAAAGAAAAACAATAACACAGAATTAGTTCCACAGAACAAATAAAAACCCCATATATTGTTCTTACCAGGCATACATGCTCTTGAATGGTGTAAGGGTTAAATTCTAAATAAATTTGTAATTTGTACTGTCCTGGTTTCAGCTGGGATAGAGTTAACTGTCTTCCTAGTAGCTGGTACAGTGCTATGTTTTGAGTTCAGTATGAGAAGAATGTTGATAACACTGATGTTTTCAGTTGTTGCTCAGTAGTGTTTAGACTAGAGTCAAGGATTTTTCAGCTTCTCATGCCCAGCCAGGGCACCTGACCCAAACTGGCCAACAGTGTATTCCATACCATGGGACGTCCCATCTAGTTTAGGAACTGGGAAGGGGGGGGCGGGGAATCGCTGCTGGGGGACTGGCTGGGTGTCATCAGTCGGCGGGTGGTGAGCAATTGCCCTGAGCATCATTTGTACATTCCAATCCTTTTATTACTACTGTTGTCATTTTATTAGTGTTATCATTATTAGTTTCTTCTTTTCTGTTCTATTAAACCGTTCTTATCTCAACTCACGAGTTTTACTTCCTCTCCCGATTTTCTCCCCCATCCCACTGGATGGGGGGGGAGTGAGTGAGCAGCTGCGTGGTGCTTGGTTGCTGGCTGGGGTTAAACCACGACATGTACCAACGTAATATTTTGCTAATCCACTGAATAGTATGGCATCAACAGACAGAAGAAGATACAATGATTAGGGTTGAAAATGAGTCTTGATGTCTCCCAAGACACTGATGTTTTACTCCAGTGCTATTAGGTCACCACTCACAGAGCACATTTGAAACAGTAACTATGAAGCATGCCAGGAGCACAGAATTAGCAGGATGGACTGCAGCTGCTTGTTACTTTCGCAGTCAGTAGGAAGACTGCTCCAAGCATCAACAGCGGCAGCTTCTCAAGCTGATGTCTAGAAATCAGTGAAGTCTCCACAATTGAAAGACCAAGCCTCCTATCTGACCTACACAAACAGACCCAAAATGCTGAAGAAGTTAACATTGCTGAAACTCTCGTTGGTAAAAAGATACAAGAAGCAGGCTGAGAAAAGGAGGGTCTGTTCCAGTCCCTGTTGTATAAACATTACAAAGTCATTTAAATATATGGGAAAGAGTTGCCCAACTCAAATTGTTGACTTTATATTTCAGAAGTCAAAAAAACTCTCGTTACTTCTGCATGCCATTCAGCAAGCAGTAACAAGCTTCAGTCAATTAATTTTGTTCTAACCCAGTCACTGGTTTAGTTCCAACATTAACGGAACTTTTTCCTATGCATTTCAACCATAAGGACACCTACTTTAAGACACTACATAACGATGAAAGCCGTGTCATCAACGTCTCTCACTTGTATTGAGATAACTACCAACATTATGACAATGCCATAATGGTATAGAGTAGCATTTTGACTGCAAAGAATCCATAAACCATTAAAGCAATCCCTTAAAATTCCTAAAAGAAAATGAATTTCTGGTATTAATCCATTATGAAGAATAAAGTAGTTCACTAAAACAAAAACATTTGCACACTCCAAATCATCTTAGCTGAGAATCGGAGACAAAGCAAAACGTGCTTTTTCTCACGATTATTAACAAAAATCCAGTTTTTCCTCCCAGCTACTTTATGCTCCAACAGCACATAGCAAAAGTAGCTTCCAAGAGTAGCAAAACCAAAGACAACCCAGAAAAGTAGAGCTATAAAGCTGTGCCATTAAATTCATGAAAAATTTACTTTGCCATTAGTCTAACTTGTAGTTATTTTCTATAGTCATTTCTACCAGAAAAAGGGAAAGAAAAAATGTTCATATGCAACTGCAATTGAAAGAAAGCAGTAATACTATCTACAATTTAACAACTGTTTCCCCAAATAACACAGATGCACTATAAACACCTTCTAGGGTCTCAGTCATACAACAGGAGTCACAAGGATACTACTGAAAATGAGCCATTAATCCTAAGAAATGAAGTAAAAATTACATTTGTCCTTTCAAGTATAGTTTGCTGGATGACATGCTTTGACAAATGCCAGAGAGACTCTGTGTTACATGAGAGCATTAATACATACTCAGTATTGTAAGATTAATGTAAACATTCAGCTCTCATGCCTATCATCTTAGATGAGTTTGTCAGATGGAAAAATTACTTCCTTACTGTAAGAAGACCTACAACATGACACATGCCTTTCCTCAGTTATAATACTTCAACTTTGATCCTTATGGGTCAACCTGTCCAACTCCAGATATTCTATGATTCTATAAACTGTTCATTAATACTTGCCTACTCTGCATGGCAGAGTAACCTAACTTATGGATATGGAGATGTATGTTCTTCCTTCCTTTACCTCCCAAAGTGTTCTTCTGGAAAGAATTCTACAACTAATTGCAAAGTTTCATAATAAACTTTAGCTTAAAAATGTATAAACCTGAATATTTTCTCTGCTCCATGTATGTGGTGTCTTGTTGGCCAACAACTTTAAATCTTGAATTGCAAGCCTCTTCACAGCCTTCCTGGGGTCATTCTTCAAGTACTGCAACAAAAGCTGGATCTGCAACAAAGTAAATTCATTGTTTAAGAGAGACCCTACTAGAAGGAAGCCTTTTCAAAAATACTCATAAAGAAATTTTGAGCATACTCAGCCAAAACTATCTTGCCTTATCTGTCTGATCACTTGCCACATGGAAAAGCCCCTACTTAAGCTGGTATGCCATGGCAACCTAAAACAGTCTGACAGCCTATTTCTACCACCCTGCTCTCCTTGTTCACGTACCCTTCTCTACATCACCCTGCATACCTCAGAGCCTTCAGTCCTGTTTCAGCACTCACAGAAATGCCAAAAAAACCCTCCAAGAAGCTCAGGAAACACCTTATACTGTCATTATGCTATTAGCAAGTATTCTGGGCATTTGATGCTAATTCAGGTGTCTGCATGATCTGCAGTTAACAGATAGCAACACAGAGATACCTTGTATGTCTCAGTAGTTGCCAAAAACAACCCCCAAAACCCAACCAAACAAAAACAACCCTTACCACCCCCTCTGAAGCATTTATCTCAAATTAAGTGACACTTAACTGCATGTCCTTTGTTGTGTTCATTTCCTGCAAATTTACAGAGATGGAATAGCCAGCACATGAAAAAGTATGAACAAGCCAGCCATGGTTTTGCTCTCCATCCCCACCCTGGCTACATCACTTTTAAGCAGCATTGGCTGTTGTGTTGCAGAAATACAGCCTAAATCGCCATGCTTACCGCCATTAAAAAAAAAAAAGCACATCAAGTGTTCTAATGTTTCAGTTGGCTTAGATTTAGTACTATCAAAAGCATCCTCTGAAATACAGAAATCAGCCATAGCAAAAAGAAGTTTCAGACAGATCAATGCCATTAGTCTAACAGTAACAGACACCAGCCTTCCATAGCTGTACAGGATTGAAAGAAAACAAATAGATTTTCATGACTACTTTACAAGGATTAGTTAGATGAATCTGAAATGTCACTGTGTTCAGACCTGCTATATAAATTACGTCCATAAAGCACATTATCAGAACATAAAAGCATTGTATTTTTCCATCACTGCTTTTCCACAACTTGGCTTATAGTCCTAAATTATAGCAACAGATTAAAATTCCTCAGAGTTCTTCAAGAAATACTTTTTTAAATGCACTCTGTGCTATTGAAATACTCATTTGCTTGCATGCAAGGAAGGCAAAAGGCATACCCCACAACCCAAGAGAATATACAGCAGTGAGAAGTGAAGCCTGGGTTCTACAGGTAAGAAAATGTTTTCAGGAGAAATCAGGGTATTTGCTTTCCTAAGTGCTGATTGATTCTAGTTGATTTCAATCCCAGTTGATTTAAAGGAAGACAGGTTATATATGTAAAGAAGGGTTCCTGTGTTTGATGGAGTTATCTGAAAATGGGACCAAAGAGGGCAAAAAAAATTAAAGTAGCAGCAGTTTTCAGGGTATTCTTTCTCTATAGCACATAGAACCAACCATCCTAGCATATCCACCGTGATTTATTTTTGGCATCAGCTAGCATCTGAGGTTTTTTTAAATGTACTTTGTACTTTAAGTTGAAGGAATTAATTAGGAAGAATTACCTGTTTAGGAATGTCAACCAATGAAGAAGCAGCAAGCAGAGTAAAGGTGTGCAGAGTAACAATGACCATCTTGGTAGAGGGATATGATGTTACCAGCTGCTGAAGCAGTTGCCGGGAGCTGGAGGCCAGGCTAGCATCATGATGCATGTGCTGTAGAATAGGTATCAACTTCAATTTCAAGTCCACAGGTGTGGCCAAACCTGCAACAAGGAAGAGAAACTGAGGCAGAGTGTTAGTCCTTTGTACTGCTTCTGGCAGTATTGAGGCACACAATACATCTGCATTGCTACCACTGCTGAATGCAGATTGTGCAGACACCTGCATTAACTTCAAATAACTCATCTACCAGCTAGCAGCATAACAACAGTGGTATCTAGCACTTTCATGGTTCTTTGAGAAGGTTGCTCCTTGCTTCATTACAGGTAACACACGTATTAACTCATCCGAAGCAACCTGTGATAGTCTATGTAAGTTTATTCATCGTACTATAGATGAGCTTTTATTCTTTACCAAACACGTGTTTTGGAAACTTGGATTTAAGAGGACACAAGAGATAGCCGTTATATTATTGGTTAGCTAATTTAATTTAAAAACTGGAATCATCTGACGATAAGGGCAACAGCATTCTGATATCTGATATTTACATATGGATAATAAAGAATTCTCAGAGAAATTAGAGCTTTTCCCTTTTATTATTCAATATGCATATGTACCTTGAATCATCTCACTGATTTTATTACATATTCCAGCAGCAAAATCCCTGTAGAGAAAAGATAAAGTACCAGGTGAAATGAAAAATAAACATATAAATAATTAAAAATAAAAATCAACTGACTACCAAACATTGTGTTTTAACAATAAAAACTTTCAAAAAAAGAGTGCTTGCCAAGACCTAAGTTGTTTTAGAACCCCTGCACATGGGCATGACCAAATGATAAAACGGAAGCTTTAAATAAAAAAAAAGTATCGAAGTGACAAGTAGCACTACCTTTTGTTCCCTAATGTAATTCCTGTAAAATAATCCTTGATTAAAGCTGCTATTCCACTTTGCGTTCCCATATTTATGATCTTCTCATTACTATTTTAGAAAGAAAAAAATTAAAATCTATTAAACCTGTATTCAGATTTCTTTACAATACTGCTATCACACATAATTAAATGTTTTGCTATAAATGACATGGTTAGCACTACAGAAGGAAATATTAAGGTTTGTGAATGCCAGTGTCAATGGAGTTTCCATTCTCTGTAACATGAAAAACTGAAAAAAATTACATCTTACTTTGATTGTGCAGAAAAGTTGGCAGCAGCAAATATAGCAGCTTCAACTTCCACATTATCATGGGAATCCAAACTCTGACGAATACTGTGATGTGCATTCTTCCTTTCTGGAATAATAGATGCCATGCTGCCCAACATCCTACAAAAATAAATCGCAGCAAATCAGGAAGAACAATGATCATGAAGAAATGCAAGATGAAACTAAATAGAAACATAAAAGGACTGATTAAAAGACTATTTTTATATGAATTTGTGCTCTTACGTGTCTATTACAGAAACAAATGCTAAAAGTAGGCATATATTTAAAAGGTAACAAATTTCGTCATGTGGGTTGTATCAGTGGTTTAATAAAAAATTAATTATATTGTGATACCTTTTAGCTTGAAATGGGCACAGTGAGAAACGTACCAAGAATTCTTATAAAATTACAAGTGTGCTATGGCACTGGGAACAAGTATTTAAGATGCTTTTACATTCCAGCTCTGGTATCAATACGATAGATTTAATACTAAATGTACTGATGGCTATTTTCAGACACACATGTACACATCATGGGATATAAATTCAGAAATGTGGTAGTTTAGGGGGATTAAAAAAGCATTTAGAGAACTGTTTCCACCCTTTCTATCCCTCTTCCCAATTAAGACTGCAGAAATAAATAAGTGACAAATGTCTGAACAGTCATAAATTTTAACCGCAAGAACGCAAAGTTTCTAGAGTGTTACCATGATCAAGCAAACAGATATCTGACTTTCATCATCTGTTTCTAAGATCTTTCGTGATATGAGAAAAGGTTATCACTGGGAACAGCGCAATACCTTTTGTATAACTACTAAAAAAAGAGCAAATCAATCTATATTCTGCTAAGAATATCTCAAACATACTTTTCAGACATATTTAGCATAATCCAATTAAAAGAAGAACGAATGCAGGATTTGCACTGACAGTAATTTTTAGCAAGAGTTCTATGCAAATATTTACACATAGTTATCTACCAATAAAATTTCACAGACACAAAGCTTTGTTTTAGCAGATCTTTCTTTCAGCATGTTCTTTCTTACTGACACTACTTAAGGACAAAAATAAATCAACTGAAGATTTTAATCTGAAACTGCTGAAACACCAGCCATTTTAACCCTTCACTTGATGCATCCTGTGAATTGATTAGTAATTTAAGTATTTTTTCAAACTGAGCAGATTCCTGGGACTTCTAGTGGTCTGTAAAGATAGCCCTCAATACCGGTCAACAACTGCAATCTTATGTTAGAATACTAAAGTGGAACTACATGAAAACATGTAGATATATTGTATTTACAGAGTTCAAGACACCAGAGCATGAAATCATAATCTCAAATGAAATATCAAAAGAAGAAAGAAATGGATCTAACTCTCTGGGTTACGCATACAACAGATTCATGTTTCTTCTCTTCAGTACACAAAATTTCAATGCTGCAAATTGTTTTGCCCAGAGCCATCCACAAAATTCTCACCATCATAAATGGTTCTTCTGATCACAGAGCCTTATCGTTCACCTCCTTTAAAGACAGATGTCTTTGCTTTTAACTCTATGAGCAATGTGCAAGACGCCTCCTACATTTCATTCATGGTAGCTGCAGATTTTGTTATTCCAGACCAGCATACTAATAAAGAGCTAGACATTTTAAGTTAGGTTCATTTATGTAATACATACCGAAGTGTAATAGCCCGAGCAACTGGATCATTGCTATGAATTACTGAGAACACTCTTTTGACGAACTCATCCACATTTAGGATCTTCTCTAAGTGCTTCTCACTCTGCTGAGTAACTTTTAGCACACACAGCCTCAGGAAGTTGTTTCTATTAGAAGACACACACATTTCTCTATCAGGCTGTTTTATAATAATAATTCAAACACTTTATTTAAAAAGCTTCCCAGAGTAAATTAAAACAAGGAAAGGTCTATGCTTTAGAAACATCGTATTTAATTAGACTGGTATAGTTAATATAGACTATTAACGCACTATTGTTTTATTTTCTAGTACAGTTAGTGTTGAATTTAGGCCGACTCCAGGGAAATGAACCTGCTGACACCAGTGAGGAGGACTGTAAGCAGATGCCTGTTTTGTGCACACTCAGGGATCTAATTCTGCTAGAAAACCATGTCCAGGACTAAGACAGAAAAGTCTAATTGCCATTGCCAGGTGTAAGTGAATTTTTTTTCCTTCCTGAAGCCAACAGTGAAGATTCCACAACAGCAACAGATAACTTTGTAAGCTATTACAAAGTAGCTCCAATTCCATCACATTTAGACATCAGGCACTTGAAAAAATCTATACTTTGGACTTTGTTATTAACATTCCTTAGACATGGAATTTGCACATATGATCATCCATCTATTTATTAATTATGAATTTGAACGTGCCTATGAAGCAGAATTTATACCAGTGAACTTAAACCAGTCAGCAAGTGAATCCTCAAATCAGGACAGATGGAAAGGAACTGTGTCGTTGATCGCTCACAGCCACTTAAGGCCACTAAAGACGGGGAAAGCAAGCTCCAATCAAGCACAACTTGTCCTCAATAGAAAAGGTACCACTGTGGTATTATCAGGCAAGCAGAAAAACCCCACGGCTGCCCAGGCTCCGATGCAGCAACACTCCAAGACACAGTGCATTACTACGGATAAGAGATTTGAATAGATAGAAACTGACTGATGCTACTTACCCCACTCTGAAAACATCAGCTAGCTTTAGGAAAGCTGAATTAATGAGAATAGGGAAAGGATATTTCTGGAAGAGCCTGGGAAAACGAACGACGGCTTCGCACTGCTCCCCGAGTTTGCCAGACCTGAGGCCTAAACAAGACAACAATGACTGCTGCAGATACCGATGCTCCTTCACAGCCAGGTCCTCCCTCTACCCCCCGCTCGCCGTACAGCGGTAAGAAAACAACGCTCCCAGCCGCTGGGGACCGAAGGACGGGACGAGACCGCCCCCCACAGCGCGGCGGCAGGCAGAGAGCGGGCGCCGACGGCCCTAACGGCAGCCCCAGCCCCGCTCCCCAGGCCGGCGACAACCTCGAGCCCGCCCGGCCTCACCTTTGTCCAGCTCCATGAGGGCGGAGTTGGCGTCCAGCTCCTGCTCGCCGTAGCCCGCATCGGCCAGGAAGGACTTGGCGCTGGCAGCCATACCGACCCCC